ACATGTTGCAGCTATAAATGCCCCTGCTCGAATTGAGATTCCAAAAGAAATGGCAGATGACGATGTGCCAAATGAATTAAAGGCACAATTGAAACGAGGAAGACCAGTGGGGTCTAAAGATAAGAATCCTCGAAAGAAAAGAGAAATTCAAAATTCGAATTTGAAAAGGAATCAAGATGATGAAAAAATTTTGGAACGAAATGAAAATATTGAAATCTCCATCAATTATGTAAATAATGGGAAACTTTGGAAGCGTGATGAGATCATTGATGATGCATTCGCATATATGGTATCACAAGAAATTGACAAAGAAGTTGAGGATCCTGAACCAAAGTCTATGATTGAATGTCAGAAAAGACATGATTTGGACAAGTGGAAAGGTGCTATTCAAGCCGAGTTAAATTCGCTTAATAAACGAAAGGTTTTTGGACCTATAACCATTATACCCAAAGACATAAAACCTATTGGGTACAGATGGGTTTTTGTCAGAAAAAGAAATGAGAAAAACGAGATCACAAGATATAAAGCTCGTCTTGTAGCACAGGGATTCTCCCAGAGGCCTGGGATCGATTATGATGAAACATATTCCCCTGTTATGGATGCGATTACTTTCAGATACTTGATTAGTTTGGCCATCCATGAAAATCTTGAGATGCGTCTTATGGATGTTGTGACTGCTTACTTATATGGATCGTTAGACGCTGACATTTATATGAAAATTCCAGAAGGAATTAGAATTCCCGAGGCACTAAAGTCCAAACCTAAAGAGTTATGTGCGATAAAACTGCAAAGATCATTGTATGGCTTGAAACAATCAGGGCGTATGTGGTATAATTGTTCGAGTGAACAATTACTGAAACGTGGGTACATAAATAATCAAATATGCCCGTGTGTTTTTATAAAAAGATCACAAGATGGAGTTGTGATAATTGCTGTCTATGCCGATGATCTTAATATTATTGGGACTACAAATGAAATTCAAGAAGCAGTCACTTTACTAAAAGGCGAATTTGAAATGAAAGACCTCGGGCAGACCAAATATTGTCTCGGCTTGCAAATAGAACGGGTCCAAAATGGGATATTTGTCCATCAATCTAATTACACTAAAAGAATTCTGAAACGATTCAATATGGACAAGGCTAATCCACTTAGTGCCCCAATGGTCAATCGAACATTAGATGTCGAAAAGGATCCATATCGACCTTGTGATGAAGATGAAGAAATACTTGGTCCTGAAATACCATATATGAGTGCAATAGGGGCTCTTATGTATCTTGCTAATTGCACCAGACCAGATATATCTTTTGCTACCAACTTGTTGGCGAGATATAACTCGGCACCTACAAAGAGGCATTGGAATGGGATTAAGCATATATTCCGTTATCTCCAAGGGACAATCGATTTGGGACTGTTTTACTCTAACGATAAAAAACATGAAATAATCGGTTTTGCAGATGCGGGATATCTCTCAGATCCCCATAAAGCAAGATCTCAAACTGGATACGTTTTTATGATTGGCGGGACTGCATTTTCTTGGCGTTCCCAGAAACAAACATTAGTTGCGACGTCTTCAAACCATGCTGAGATCATTGCACTCCATGAAGCAACTAGGGAAAGTATCTGGCTCAGTAACATGACTCAACATATCCAACAAGCCAGTGGACTATCAAACAATAATGACCCAACGGTGATATTCGAAGACAATGCAGCATGTGTCGCTCAAACCAAAGAAGGATACATTAAGAGTGACAGAACTAAACATATCCCGCCAAAGTTCTTTTCATATGCACAAGAGCTTGAAAGAAACAAACAAATCAAAGTTCAATACATTCGATCAAGCGATAATGCAGCTGATTTGTTTACGAAGGCGCTCCCGACGACAATGTTTCGAAAGCACGTGCACAACATTGGAATGAGACATCTTCGGGATTTGTACAGATGATAACTCAAGGGAGAGTATGTGCGGCTGTACTCTTTTTTCCTTGTCTCGGTTTTTTCCCACAGGGTTTTTCCAGATAAGGTTTTTAACGAGGCAGCATAAACGCACATTTAGTAGTGGTAATTCCAAGGGGGAGTGTTATGTACAAGTGGAATTTAACACTCCTAATCTTATCATCTTTATATTATTATATTTAATTTATATTGAAAAGCGTGCCAACTTTTGCCTATAAAAGACAAGCTATGTACAACATTTGTGATACGGAAAATTGAAGAAAGAAAGCAGATTATAATCGTTCCAATTTTTATACATTGTGTTCTTTATATTGCTCGCATTTTATAACAGGGACGAGATACGTACAGTTCATATCTTAAAAACACACTTTACATGTGCTTATTAAAATTTTCTCGTCTACCAAAAAGAAAAAGAAAGAAGATCATAACATTAAAAAAAAAAAAAAAAAAAAAAAAAAAAAAAAAAAAAAAAAAAAAAAAAAAAAAAAAGGTACAACAGTGACTGATGTTATATAAGTTCCTAATTACGAGATCGGCTATACATACTCACAAAGAACCAATGAACAACAAGCAAATTGCATCTGAGATAGATTAATCAGTAATAAAAATTCAACAATTACGTATATACAGACTTACAAAATGCAGTGTACAATTCATCTTAAATGAGATTACAAAAGACATTCGATAGGATTTCGATTCGTCTCTTAGGTGAATCATATTACTTCTATTCAAAATAAGACAAGGATGATGAGAAGAATGGATGGCCAGCTCAGTCACCCCCAACTTGCCTCTTCCACGAGTCCTCCACGATCAATTCATCCACTCCCCAGTCTTCATAGCTATCAAATTTATGGTAATACACGGTTAAGAAACAAATAAAGATGCCACTTAGTAGAAAGAGTTTCTCAAAAACCGAGAGAGCTTACCTTCCATCAGGGAGATAACGACGAATGGTGAAGGGTATTTTTCGTTCTCGCAGTTCCTTCATTGCAATCTGAAAAATAAATAAATAAATAAAGCAATTCAGATTTGCAAGGCAGCTTCAAGAAAAGACAATGATGCAGAATAGACTATATCCCACTTAATCATATTGAGGGAGCTGCTACACAGTGATGAATTACAGTACAACTCTCACTTACACAATGCAGGAAATAGGTATCTTTAATGATTGCATACTAGCCTGTAAACAGAAATTACTATACAAAACTAATGCTCAATGGTACCAAACACCATAGGCACAAGAATTTTGTAAATATTCAAGACAAATGAAAACTATACTGGTGCAAAGGTTTGAGGCTATTTGAAATTTGAAACTATAAAGAAAACATCAATCACAAAATTTACAATAACCTTTGCACAAAAAGATAAATTTCGTTATCCCGTGCAGAGCTGACTGGTCCAACAGCATCCCCATTGCACGACCAGCACCTTACATAAACTTATATTCAAATATTTAAAAATAACATGAAGATTTCATCAATGTCAGACAACCTACTCAAGATCACAGCTCATTCCACCACTAGCCGCATCAAATTAACTACAGCAATACCAAACCTGTTTGACCTTATTCAAGATAAACATCGCTATGACATTTTTAATCCAACATACAAGTATAACAAAAATCAAAAGTGTGATATTTTCTAAAATATGATTAACAATCATTATTCTGAATAAACAGAGACTCAATTAGGACTGAGTAGTGCTTAGAGCATCTCTAATGCTTGGGTCTATTTGATAAAATGTCTAGTACCACATAGGACATTGGACCTTGGGTTAAAAAATACTACAATGCAAACAAAAAGAAACTAGGTATAGATGATGTGGCATGTGAGAAAATAGACTAGGTCTCCACTTGGGTCTATTTTGAGACATGAGTCTAGACCTAATGTCGCCCATGAAAACTATTGTTTTCATAAAACCACTTACATTTACTTAGGATCCACATCTTTTTAGACCCAAATTCAAGATATCGCATTGGAGTGAGTATTGTCCAATTTTTCTTTCATTTCTCCACATCAGTCAACTTAAATCTATTACTATTCCAACTAGGAGATTAGACTCAAAGCATCATGGATGTTTTGATGCATGCAGGAGCCCTTGCACACTCTTCAAGACCAAAAGCTAAAAATAAATGCACCTCATAAAGACTCCACTATATGCATTTGTACATTAACGCCAGAATGAATGTTTGTTTTGCGTAAGCATCTTATTATCTTTAATTGCATCAAAGCAATCAAACACTTCAATCGGGTATATTTTGCCATCTTACAAATTGTATCAGCAATGAGAAGAGATGTGACAGGAAGTTGATCAGGTCATCTATATTTGCCACATTACTAAATTAATGTCAATGTTGGATACAAATGATTATATAATCCAGAACCAACTTAAATAAATTATCATATCATTCCATCAACAAGTGTAGATGATTTGCTTTTAAAAAAAATAAATAAATAAAATCATTATCAGGAACTCAGTTCAATAAATTTTAAGAAGTTGATACTCATTCATGTAAAAAGAGATAACAAGAGCATATGTGGAAATACAGGATCCACATGCTCGTGTTAGTATTTTCCAATGCACCATCTCAAACGTCATCTTCAAAGATAAACAAGTCTACCCTTAACTTCTCCCATACCATGCTAGTCCTATGTAAAAAACAGAACAATACCCCCTCCAAACATTTCAGCACTCTGGTTATGATGATAAATTCAAATTCTAAAATTACTGGCCCACGTCCAACTATGTATTCAGAAAAAGTATAACTTGTGGTATTTGAGATAAAAGAATTCCGAAAAAATATAACAATTAACAAGTGCACAAGATACCAACGGAAATATCCACAAACAACTTAATCTTCAAATAACTCAAATAGTTAAACAAGCACTGTTTTTTGGCAGCACATTGACACAAACATCATCATAGTACTCTATACAATGTAGATACCATATTATACAATCAAAGAACAAATGTATTTTTAAAAAAGAGATCCATAAAACTTCACCTCCAATGGGTCTGTTTCACCCTCCAACTCCACCATCACCGGCGCATTCATGCTGTGAACACATAACCCTCCCAAAGTCACTACAAACACAATTTAAACAAAAACTCAAACACTGAATCGTTAAAACAACAAAAACATACCTAATCTGTAAAGCCCTCGTGCCCAGAATCCTGGCCCGCTCGTACTTAGTCATGTACTTAGAGGTTTTCCGAGGGCGTTCTACCGGCTCTTGGTCCTCTTTCTCTTCACCTTCACCTACAATAGGATCCGGCACATCCTCGTTGTTGTTTTCTTCTTCGAACTCCGCCCCTTCCTGTCAAAATAAAACCAATAAATAACCATAAGAGCATCGGCAGAGCTTGATGAAGCTAATGAATCATTCATATTAAAAAAAAAAAAAAAAAAAAA